ATGGCCAATACTAAGGCTGAGCAAAAAAAAAAAACCAAGATGAGTCTGAAACACCAGATAAATCCTGAGGGTCAAGATCATGAAAGATGAGGAAAGACTGGAAACTTCAGAAAATAAGGGGGCACCATCAAAGGAACAGAAATGCCAACTTAAAACAGTTCTAAATGGCTAATTTGAGCAAAAAATAAAGAATATTGGACAGGCAAAGTGTGAAATAAATGTAAATGAACCAATACAGTAAGTGATTGAGCAAATAAACGAAGAAGAGACAAATCTTTCTTACAGAAGAATTCCATTTAATATTTGCAGATATTCCCCCCTACAGGAAATGGACCATCCAACCACCATGGTTTCTGGCTGCAAACCCTCCTGCCCCAGGGGTCAGACATAGTTTCTTGCTTCTAAACATCAGGTAGGAGTTAGTGCCAGGCATGCGGTAGCACATGCCTATAATTCCAGATACTCAGGAGGCTGAAGTAGGACATGGATCACAAGTTCAAAGCCAGCCTGGACTACTTAGTGAGACCTGCTTCAAATTAAAAAGTAAAAAGGGTTGGGGATGAAGCTCTGGGGAGACAACCCTGGGCTCAATTCCCAGTACTGAAAAACAAACAAAAACCCACTACCACCACAGGAAACCCCAAAGATATAAAAAGGGAAAATAATAACTCTATAGGGGAGGAATATATGAAATGCTACCTAAACCAAGGAATAAAAGCTATTACAAGTGATATTATATAAATATACCTTTCTATAGATTGAGGGTATCTCATCTCTGTGGTATTCTTTTTCAAAATCCATAGTTCCAGACTAATCATGAGAGAAACAGCAGATAAATCCAGATTGAGGGATATTCTTCAGGATACATAGACAGACATCTCAAGACAGTTAAAGTCTTTTGAAAGATGAGGAAAAATTGGAAATGTCACAAATCAGAGGAGACTAGGAAGACATAACAACTAAATGTGATATCCTAAATTAGATCCTGGAATTACATTTAACACACAGGGCTATTCTATAAAGCAAGATACATTTCCATTTCAACATTCAGAGCCTAGTGAATTCTTCCTTTCTGAGTACTTTTGGAAGAATAAGAAGTTATCTTTCAATTGTTCACAATAACAGAGGAAAAGGATTTACACAACACACACACACACACACACACACACACACACTCCTTTTTCTTTTGTGATACTGGGGATTGAACCCAGGGCATTCTATCACTGAATTATATAGGTTTTTTGTAAGTTGCCAAAGCTGGCCTCAAACTTGTGATTCTCCAGCCTCAGCCTCCAAGTTGCTGGGATTACAGGTGTGCACACCATGCCCAGTAGGGATTATATATTTCATAACAAAAATTTATTTTGTTAATACTTTTCCTTTTGAATTTTATCACAGAAACTAGTTCATTTCCCAATATGTGAAAGCCACTAGGAAAAAAATCCATTTGAAATTATTAAAAGTTTTGCCTTATATTATCCACAAAGTCCAAAAATTGAAGCATTTTTCTTTTAATTTACACAAAAGTATAGAGTTTTTTAAACAGATAATTCAAGGATCTCAGTAACATAAAAACCGCAAATAAAATGGGAAAATGTATAACGTGTCTCACCAATAGACTGTGGGGTTCACAAACTGTAGGATGAGAGAATCAAGTATATACTATCGGGCACTGCAAGATTTTCATTGACTCATTGTTGGGTGATGAAGTGAAGAGAGAATGAATAAGAAAATCAGACAGCATAATAGGCTTAAAAACATTGCACGTATTTTTCAGAATTCTGCTTTCTGGCCACAATTCAATTTTGATTAAATTTGAATAAAAACTATTTAGCAATCTGATCTTCAACCACTTAACTACAATATACCACAACTAATGAAGAAACGTCAATTTAGCTCATCTCACTCTAGGAATAAAATGAAGAACTTACAGAAAACAACTGAGGGTTTACCCACAGAACAGACTATTACTCAGGGCTGTGAATATTCGGGATTGTTCTGGTATATAGCGGGCTACAGTGAGGTTCTTCGAACTGAAAAAATTCCATGAATGTTAAGCTATAATAACAAAGATTGTATTATTTATACGAAAACCTTTCAATGCTTATTGGGACGGAGACACTCATCCATAAAGTCCAATTTCGCCTACAATTTCCCTTGGGTTAAAGCAGGGCAGAAGGCAAAGGCACCGTTCAAAGTTCATCCCTGCTTCAACATTTCTACTGACTTTTCAATACTCTCCAAAGAGAACAAGACTACCCGATGAGGTCAAATTTATGTACTTTCTCAAGTTTCTGCTCTTCCCCTTCCTATCTCTAACAGAGCCATCCCCTCTGCCTCCCTGTTCTGAGGGATTAAAGGGGCGTAATGGCGCCGGCCGGGAGGTACTCAAGGCTTCCTTACCCCTCTTCAATGTCGTGGTTAGAATTCAGCTCCTTCTAGGTGGTAAAAAGAACCCAAGATGCAGAGCAGACGAGATGAGGGTCAGAGGGTCACAATCCTCCCACCCGCTCCCTGCACCGCTAGGCCGTCCCGCCCCGGTTCCTGCAGCTCCCTCAGGTCACCACAGCCCCCTTCTTCCCCTCGGAACCTCTGGGCCTCCCCGTAGCCCGTGTACCCGCCTCGGCAGCTTCACACCGCGCTCACCGTTCACCAGCGCCGGGGCCTTCTCCGCGAGGTTACGCACGAACTGGGCCATGGTTCTAGGGCAGAAGGTCCGATGCCCCAAAGGCCGGCTGAATGTCACCCCCCGGAAGGACTCACTTTAGGACCCTGTGCCACTTCCAAAGTCAGGCCGCCCTTTTCCGCGCCTGTTCAAGATACTTAGGTGTCCTAGCGCCTTTGAGGAATCTAGTCAGTCAATTTATTTTTTTCAGCCGCGGACAGGAAGTGGATTTGAAAAGACGATACTAGAGGATAAATAGGAAATAATGGGATTCCTCAGAGAAAGAGGCATTTCTCGGGGCAGCCACTTGCGGAGGCCCGGAAGGCCGGCGAGGTGAGAAAGTACGCATGCGTCCGTGCTTTTTTTTTTTTTTTTTTTTTTTTTTGGCGCTGACCCTCACAGTTTTGCTTAGGGTGCTCTGGGAGCTTCTCTGAGGTTGTCAAGGCTGGAAGGCATCGTTAAAATGCTCCTAGATCTACACTGTTTTAGAGGGCAGAGAGAGTCCAAGGCCAAACAAAAAGTGCAAAAAATTGGGTGCCGAGCACACTACAAACCAAATCACTAGACTCAGCCCCCCGCTTCTTAACATTTTAGGTGGACACAATATCTTTATTACTATTATTATTTTTTTTATGTGGTGCTAAGGATTGAACCGAGTGCATGCTAGGCGAGCACTCTACCACTGAGCCACAACCCCAGCCCATGGACTCGGCCCCTCTTTAATTGATGTTTTCTAATGTCAATGTCTTGTATCTAGATTGGAATCCAATTTCCTTAGTTCTTTAACTAGTCACAAGGAGCAGTGCAGATAGGAGGGACAAAATCCCTTTGATTGAGGGCTCCTTTATGCCAGGCATTTTTTTTTTTTTTTTTGGTGCCTGGGATTGAACTCGGGGGCACTCGACCACCGAGCCACATCCCCAGCCCTATTTTGTATTTTATTTAGAGATAGGGTCTCATTGAATTGCTTGGTGCCTCTCTATTGCTGAGGCTGGCTTTGAACTTGAGATCCTCCTGCCTCAGCCTCCCAAGCCGCTGGGATTACGGGCGTCAGCCACTACGCCCCTATGCCCGGCTTTTCTGAAATTTAACGAAAGCGTGGGTGTGTTAGGTATTACCTTCACCCGGAATGAGATCGATAAATACCTAGGGAGTGCAGAGTTCGGAAACGAAGAGGTAGCAGTGTAAACGCCGAGCGGGGGAACATCAGTATTAGATAGGCATGGTGTGGATAGAGATCCTTGAGGGGTGGTTGAAACTTCATAGTTGAGTATGACTGGAAGAAAGGGCTGGAGTTGTAGCTCAGCGGTAGAGTGCTTACCTAGCATGCGTGAGGCGCTGGGTTTGATCTTCAGCACCGCATTAAAAAAAAATGAATGGAATAAAGATATCGTGTCCAACTACAACTAAAAAATAAATGATATTTGATGAGATGAACAGAAGTTATCCAGGCGAAACCTGAGCAAAAGAAAAACTCATGAAATGGTTAAGAGATAAAGAAAAGGTTAACTTAGCTATATGAAAATCTTTGACGTTAACTAGCCTTTCAAAAACAGGCTAGAAGCCAGAGTGATTGGGTGAAGAAATATGGCTTTAAGGGAATACAAGTAAGAAAATCAAAGCGGGATGTGGAACTCAAGAAAACAGAACACCGAGGAGGGGAATTCACAAGAGCCCTGAGGCAGGAAAGGAGGTGGAGGAATTAGCCTGGGAACAGTGGGAACTTTCCTACCGATTGGGGTGAAGGGAGAAGAGCTTCAAAGTGGAGACTCTGAAGTCTTCTGTTCTCAGGGAAATAGAAAGCAATGTCATCTGGTAACCGGTAGGGTGAGAGAATTTGAAGAAAGAGGTTTAAGTTAAGGACACACAGAAGGTTTGTCAGGAAATGTTCAAGACCACAAGTTTGTGGTTACACCACTCTAAAAACATTGGGTTGGTTTTGATCCAACAGTGGTCTCTTTCTTGGATACTGGGCTGAGGGGAACGGCTGGATTAATCTAGGCTGAGGTCTTGTATGGATGGGTTATAGAACAAAAAGGGGTCATTAAAGGAGAACATGGTGGAAAGTGATTAAAATGAAAGACCTGAGGTTTAGGCCAGCTAAAGAAAATGGAGCCAAACAGGGGCTAATTGGGAAAAAAACCTTTTGAGACTCATCTTCTGAGATAACTCCAGGGTCCCCCCAGAGGCCTAATGAATTGGATTAGGTCAGCTAGGTCACAAATTATTTGATAATACCTACCGAAAAACAGTGTAAGTTAGAGTCCTCTAGATTTTTGAGGTATTTCTGAAACTGCCACTAGCTTTTAATACTATAATAAAATGACAACAAAAGTTGTAAGTCAGGTGTTCATTTATTAAATACAAGTTTGAACAAACACCCCCAGGCAAGTATGACAAGAAGTAACCTTCCTGGAATGTTTCAAAATAGTTATGTTGATCAAGTTTTACTTTAGTCAACCATTTTGATGTTTTGCTCTTCATTTTGTTTCTAGGTTCCTTTCCTGTTTTGCTGTTAGAGCATGTACATTATTTCCTTGCATGACAACAGTGCAGCATCAGCCTCTGGCTTGTAAAGGCACCCAGTAGACTTATACCCCGTATAATGGCTGCTTAGAAACCAGCATCAAATAAAGTCATGACGTTTTTGTAGAGTGTGATCCCAAACAGCAACAGGTGCCTTCACCTGCACCATTAAAATACCTCTAATTTCCTTCAGCTTTCACATATTAAAAACTATACTAAAAAAAAAACCTGCTTGATAAAGCCTATTTAAATAATTTTCCATAGAATTAGCCTCTTGGTAAGTTATGAGCAATACCAGAGCTGATTAGAGTCTTCATTTTCCTATCATACTCCAGCAAAGCCAACATAAAACTATGTATGTCACATATCTACTCTTAAAGATTTAGAGCTGCTGCTGAGTTCCGGACAAAGCACCTCCTTACATATCCAAATGCATATATGCACCATGTTGTACCAAGATGATAACTTATTTAATGTCTCAATTTTTTTGACACCCTAAGTTACTTCACAGAAAGAAAGAAGGCACAGAGGACACTTGGTTTCCTTACCAACAGTGTCCTTAAGCTACACACTTTGCTTTTGTGATAAGTTTAAAGATATTCAGCAGCATTAATGGTGCCACAGCCATTCATAAAGAGGCTCAGGAAAAGAGTTTTATATATTACAAAAAAAAAAAAAAAAAAAAAAGCTTGCCAGAAAAGGCGTACAATCTGAAGGCAAAGTACAAAACAGATACTGGAGGCAGCATAGAGGTTGTTGGCTAGAAAGCTTCTGCAAACAGCTGCCTTCTAAGGTTTTGTGCCCATTTTCCTCTTTATTCTACAAAACTGTTTTTTCCTTCTTCTTAAAATGAAAACATCCTATTAGATTGGATTTGGAAGATAATGCAAGTACATATACATAGAAGTTTATTTTATACACAGGTCACTCTCAGAGAAAAAAAATAAGGAAAATAAATATGAAATGAAACTGACTTTATAAGTCCTATCAACCCACACCTTAAAAGGCCTGGGGAACACAATGAATTAATCTTACATTCTGGCATTTTGCAGGTGTTCCAGATTTCCTTTTCATTTATAAGTGCAGCAACAGACATCTATTTTCTATCATGGGTTAGGCCCAATCTGATTTGAGTTTTTCAGTTGATTATCAAAAACACATCAAGGACTCCTTATAGCAACTTGTGCTAGAATATTGTAAAACTACTATCATATTTGAAAGAAGCCGTAATTAACAATGATGTCCTCTAAAGAAAGCAATGATCCCTATTTCTAAATTGTATCACTTTTCCCTTATATATCTCTGGGCTTAGATGAATACTAATATAAAGACAATCCATAGGGGAATGTCCCTCACTCGCATGTTAAGCTACACAATTAAGTAGGGAACTCAGGCCCAACTTGTAAAAGTGGGGTACTTCCACTTACTAACTACTTGGGGCTAAGTGGATACTAAATGGCTTGTGGACAAGGTTTTGCTCAAATTCCTACTTTATTAATTGATGACCCAAGGCTATGTTAGAAGCAGCTCTTAGAGGCCAGGCCACAAGCCCAAACAAACATTAAATATATACATTTTATAGTCTCAGAATTTCACCTGTCTAGAATGAGTATCTGAGTAAACATGGCCACACACTGCATATATCTTACTGTGGAAGAGACAACAGAAAGTGGCACTCAATTTATATTATACCAATATAAAAAAGTACATGGTATGTATGTATGTATGAGATATACTGTTGATATTAGTGTCTTATATGATGTTTTTCATGTTTACAATATTTGTTGCCTAACTTCTATTCAGGTCTAGTCTTTGTAACAATAGATTCTTATAAGAGAAAAAAGGTCTGACAGTTTATTAATCCCTTCACCCCATAATTTTTTGACTTAAGTGTCTAAAATGCAAGTTTGCCCAATCACTAATCCTCATAAAAAGGCTGCAGGGCTGAAGTTTTGGTGGTGACAACCCCGTGAGAGAGTGTGTGTTTGTGATAATATCTTGAGTTACAAGATAACACAAAATTAAGAGCTATCAACAGAAGTTGCAGAAGATTCCTTTAAAAAAAAAAATCTATCATCTTATTCAAAAGTCAACACGAACATCAAGGTATCTGCTTTTATGTGAAACGTTGTTTTGTAACATCATAGAGCTATAACAAGTATAAGGGCTTAAGTCCAGATCATGAGGACTAGTAAATTTGCAGGATAATGCAGGATTTTCTGGTTATATCAACTGACAATGAAATACGTGACACTGTAGACTTAAAAAGTACTGCTCACTAAAAATGTCTGGACAGTACTTGGGGAGAAAAATAGTAAAGTGGAGGGAAGTTTTAGCAGTTGAACTAATAAGGTAGGAAAATAGGAATAGAGGAAAAAAGGCTGAAAATTAGTGATTTATAATCACTGGTTGATTATAAGAAGTATAATTTCCTGCAAGCCAGGGGAGCATTGACAAATTCTCAGAAATCTTAATTATCATAATTTGAGCAAAAGCAGTTCTCAAATTTAATAAAGAAGATGAAAAAAAAAAAAGAAAAAAGAAAAGGAGGAAAGAAAGAAAGAAAAAGGAAAGGAACAGAACTAGAAAAAAAGAAACCAATTGTTTATCTACACTCTGGGGTTGGTTTTTGGTTTGCTTAGTTCACAGTATTTATTCAAGTTGCTCCTTTTGCTGTTGTTTCCTCTCTGCAAGCCACCGTTGGATTTTTTCTTTTAGTTCAGTGTTTGGCCGGATCTGGTCCATGGTGAGGGGACTTCGGTTAAAAGGATCTGTTTGGTCACTGGGACAGAGAGAGAGAGAAAGGGGGTTATTTTTATGAGTTCTAGCATCCTAAGCCAAAAATAAAGCATCTTACTTGGACTTTGACTGAAGCTAACCATTCATTGCAACTATGAGTCAAATATTGACCTGGGGATTAGAAAGAGTGAGATGAAAAAAAGAATGATTCAGAAGTTGTCTCTTTTCTTGTTAACAAATTATCTCAACACTGCTTGTTCAGATGACTTTTGATTCCAGTGGCTTAAAAAATGCTATTTTTTTGCATCTGTCACCAGACTTTAGCTTCTCTAAGACAGAGACCTTATACATTCATGTCAATGTAAAACACTATTTGTAGTTTTTTTTTTTTCCTTTTTGGAGATGGGGTCTCATTGTTGCCTAGGTTGGCCTCAAATGATCCTCTTGCCTTAACTTCCCTAACAGCTGGGTCCACAGATGCATACTACCATGCCCAGCTAACTATTTGTAGTTTTAGTGACAGATGCAAAAAATAAAAAACAAAAGATTCATGACATACATTAAGGGCTAATATATCTTCTGTTTATATTCTGAGATAACTACACAATAAAAATTTTCATTGACACTTTAGAAAAGACATACCACCTTATATAGCATCATGCATACAGGGAAAGCTTAATACCTAATACCATGAAGTATAAAATTCATTTTAACATTTTTTTTTCTTTTAGTGGTATTGGGGATTGAACTTAGTAATATTCTGTCTCTGAGATATATCCCCAGTCCTTTTTTCTTAAATCTTATTTTTGAGACAGGGTCTTGCTAAGTTGCTGAGGCTGGCCTTGAAACTTGTGATCTTTTGTCTCAACTTCTTTTTTAGTCAGACACAATATCTTCATTTATTTATTTTTGTGTGGTGCTGAGGATCGAATCCAGAGCCTCACATGTGCTAGGCGAGTGCTCTACCGCTGAGCCACAACCCCAGCACTCAACTTCTTAAGTAGCTGGAATTAAGAGTTTTGTGCCACCGTACCCAGTTATTTTTTTGATATTTAAAAACTGCCTTAAATCTCGGTCAACTTATATAACTGTAAAACATGAATAGTCTTTCAATATCCATTTCTATTTAATGCTATACTTAAAAAAGTTAAGGGGTTGACAGGACAATGGAGTATACATGTAGTTCCAGCTACTCAGGAGGCTAAGGCAGGGCAGAACTTCTGCTTGAGGCCAGTTTGGGTGAAATGGTGAGACCCTGTCTCAAAAAGAAAAAGAAAAAGAAAAAAAAAAAAAAGGAGGTGTTTGGTAGCAAATAAGCTACCATTTATCTTTATTCTTGTCTTTTCTATAGATATTAGGAGGCAACTATCCAAATATTGCTACCATTTATCTTTATTCCTGTCTTTTCTATAGATATTAGGAGGCAACTATCCAAATAACAAGTGAACTGGGGAAAATTCATAGCTACCCCATGGGTGGGGTCCAAAGAGAGAAACAGAGTTAACTCACATAGTATAAAATCTGAATTAAAGCAAAAAATAAAACCTTTGTCTTTTATATTTAAATTTTTTTTTTAAGTTGTAGCTGAACACAATACCTTTATTTTATTTGTTTATTTTTATGTGGTACTGGAGATCTAACCCAGTGCCTCATGCATTCTAGGCAAGTGCTCTACCATTGAACCACAACCCCAGCCCTGTCTTTTTTACTTTTTATAATTTAAATAAGCTCTGCATCTGGGGTTGCTTTTGGGAGTGACCTACCTGAGCAAATGTCTGGCAATGGTGGACCTATCCACAGTGACTCTGGAAGACGGCAGCACCACAGGGTCAGACATCAGTGTGCTCATGATAGGATCCAGGAACTCATCACAGGCATCTGCATAGGTCTCCTCTTCTTGTTGTTGGAGGTCTGCAAGAGACTGAGAACACAATACCTGTTAGTTAAAGTATGTTCACAGTACAGCTGAATTCATAATGCTAAAAGGCTATAACTTAATCTTGGTCATTAATAAATCTTGACAGCAATGACAAACCTTAACTTTATTATTTTTAATTATTATTATTTTTGGTACTGAAGATTGAGCCCAAGAGCGCTTTACTACTGAGTCATATCCCTAGCCCTTTTTATTTTTAATTTTGAGATAGGGTCTGGCTAAGTTGCCCATGCTGGCCTCAAAACTTGTAATCTTCCTGCCGTGGTCTCCAGAGTTACTGGGATTATAGATGTGCCACCATGCCCAGTTCTTAGTTTTTAGTTCTTAGTTTTAAGGTATATACCATTATGCCTGGGCTCTTACCTTGACTGTTATTTTTTTAAACCAGCCAAAATAGATATTTCAGAAGCAAATTTAATATTGCACCCCAACTCCGAACTTGCAAGTTGGGTCACCTGCTGGCAGTCATGACTAGAAACAGGTATAAGTATTAGCAGGAAAAGAACTACACCATATACAACATCTTTCTGGCAACAGTTCTATTATAAATGCTATAATCAAAAGGGGATGGGAAGGAGGGTTACTTTTTGAGTTAGTCACGCAGCCTGTGTGTGAAAAACAATTTATGGATTTTGATATAAACAGAAACAGGAATTTAAAAATAGCTTAAACATTTGATCCCTATACCTAAATCCTTAGAGATTCATCTGGCTAAGCTCTAGGCCAAGAATGAAATCTAACTCCATTAAAAAGAAACTCACATCAGTAAGAATATTGATTCTCTTTTCTTTTTCCCTCCCTCCCTTTCTTTTGAGTACTGGGGATTGAATCCAAAGGTGATCTACCACTAAGCTACATTCTCAGCACTGTTTGAGACAAGGTCTTGCTAAGATGCCTAGACTTGACATCTTTCTGCCTCAGTCTTTGAAGTTACTCAGATTACAAGCATGCGCCATCATACCCAACTCAATAAGAAAGTTTTTTCTATTAGACTTCTACACTATTTTTCCTTCTTAACCATTTCTGAAGGAGCTGTCATATTCCAACCAAAGGGACTAAGTGAATACAATGCAGTAGTTTAATCTTTAAAATGTATGCCTATTTCAGTGTAAGTTACCTACCAACTATATATGTAGAGAACAGAGAAAGATAAAAATCAGTTACTGAAAACTATGCATCTTGAATTTCATCCTAAAATGTTCTTCTGCATTAACATTCTAAATTTTCAAGTCTACTAGTAACTCTGGGAAGTTTTCATAAAAAGCTTCCAAAAATGTATATTCTTTTCTTTTAGAAGTTGTTTCTTTAATTTCTGTTCTTGTTCTTAGGTGAAAAAAGAGTAATTTTTTTTGGGATATATGTCATGTATATGTATATATGTTATATACACACGTTATAAATGTGTGTATACACACACACACACATACACACACACACATAAAAATATATAAATATATGTTACAGCCAGGCATGGTGGTGCATGCCTATCATCCCAGCAACTTGGGATGCTGAGGCAGGAGGATCTCTAGTTCAAAGCCAGCCTTAGCAACGTCGAAGCGCTAAGCAACTCAACTTTTCTCTAAATGAAATACAAAACAGGGCTGGGATTTGTCTCAGTGGTCAAGTGCCCCCGAGTTTAATCCCAGTACCAAAAAAAAAAAAAGTATTATATACTATATATTGTTATATATATATATATATACACACACACACACTATATATATATTGTTATATAAAAAATATATACAACAAATGTATATATATTTGGTATTGGGGTTTGAACCCAGGATGGCTTAACCACTAAGCCATATCTCTAACTCATTTTTATTATTTTTTGGGGGACAGGGCCTCACTAAGTTGCTGAGGCTGGCTTTGAATGTGTGATCCTCCTGCCTCAGCCTACTGAATATATACTGGGCAAAATAAGAAGATGGAAGCTCCGGTTACTGACTGACAAAGAAGAATCACCTATTTCTAGTTTCTCAAGGCAAACTTTTTTCTCCCTGAAATAGGGCAAAATTAAGCATAGTTGAGTTGGCAATGTGATTTTTGCAATCAACATTTTGTTACAGTGCTGAGAACTGAACCTAGGGCTCATACATGCTAGGTAAGTGCTCTATTACTGATGTACAACCCCAGTCCCTGTCAAAGTGATCTTTTTTGAGTGTATGTATGGTACTAGAGATTAAACTCAAGGCCTCAAATGATCTAGGAAAGTGCTCTACCATGAAGCCACATCTTCAGTCCTTTTTATTTTATTTTGAAGCAGGGTCTCACTAAATTCCAAGGCTGGCCTGGAACTTGTGATCTTTATGCCTCAGCTTTGTATGTAGCTGGTTTTATAGGTGGTTAGCCCCATGCCAGTGACAATGTGATTTTTATTGAGCATATGAGGAAACAAATTCTCCTCTCCTCACCTTGATTTTCTCTGCCAGATTACTAAAAGCCACAATCATATTCCCAGGCTTATTTATTTTCTTTAGGACTCGAACTGTCTGTGCAAAGAGAGTTGGGGAATAGGAACGTCCATCCTTGGGCACAGTGGCACAGAAATTCTCCTCATCCCTGGAAAGTCAGCATTAGAAACAAACTGAGCATCAGAGGGTAGGCTAATGGGAAGATAATAGATGGGCATGGAACAATCATTCTCATCACTTATCTTATAATGTACATTTTTCTTTTCTTTTCTTTTCTTTTTTTTTGTGGTCCTGGGGATTGAATCCAGGGCCTCATGCTTTCAAGGCAAGCACTCTACCACAGAGCCACATCCCCACCCCTATAATGTACTTTTTAAAAAAAATATTTTTTAGTTGTAGATGGACACAATATCTTTATTTATTTATTTATTTTTATGTGGTGCTGAGGATCGAACTCAGAGCCTCACACTTACTAGGCAAGAGCTCTATCACCGAGCCACAACCCCAGCCTCCGTATAATATACTTTTAATGTAGAAAGACTTCTAATTTTCTAGATAGGATATCTATCAGGTATTCCATGGTCATAAAGGAATACTATTTCCCAAACAATTGTACAATTAGCAAAGTTTATCTTAGTACAGATCAAGGCAGAATGTTGAAAATCCTCAACAATATCTCATGAATCATATAAAATCTCAGTTAATAATATAAAGATTCCTTCATCAACCAACTAGAAGTAATCATTCCTTTTCCATTTCCATGCAATAGCAACCAGTCCTTCTACTATCAAAACATCAGCATCCCTTCTGCTTGCCCAATTGCAATCTCAGGTACCCAAGATTTAAGTAGATAGTGCAGATATCTGATACAAGCTGCTGGGGTTTGAAGTCAAATTCGCTGAAGTCCTTGACTTTTAAGGCACCCATCTTGGGCCCAACCAGGTGCTGCAGGAAGTAGTTCAGCATAGAGATGATGCGCTCGGCCAGAAAAGGATGCACGAAAAGTGATTTGATTTCTGGAAAAAAAAGTCAAGAGTTTCTGAAAACTCATTCCATTTAATAATCTTTTACTTATGTCTTGTTTACTCTTTAGAGACCTGTGAGGGCTACTATTTTTTAAATTACATAAGTGATATGTTTTCACTACACAAAGTAGTAGGTAAGCCAAAATCAAAAACAAAAAAGAAAACAAAACTACCACACAGAGATACTGTTATCATTTTGCTAGATATCCTAGTTTATTTGTCCATATTTATACACATAACATACATCTTTAAGAGAAAAATGATTATACTGTATATTGTATATATAGGATCAAACCCAGTGCCTCACACAAGCTAGGCAAGTGCTCTGCCACTGAGCTATAGCCCCAGCCCTCTGTAACCTTTTTCAATAACTATTACAGAGATAGCTTACCATTTTAGTAAAGAGAGGTTCCTGTAAATAGGGTACCAACTGGCCACATGTACTTTTACAATTGATTTATCTATTTTTAGTTATAGATGGACACAATCACTTTTGTTTATTTTTAATGTGGTGGTGAGGATCATACCTAATGCATCATGCATGCTAGGAAAGTGCTCTACCACTGAACAACCATTGCCACTTTTACAATTTAAATCAATTAAAATGAAATTAAAAGTTCAACTCCTCAGTCACATTAGCCAAATTTCAAGTGTTCAACAGTCATGTGTGGCTGCTATGTGTAGACCTGGGAAGCCCAGAATTATAGATCATTTCCACCATCACAGAAAGTTTTATAGAATAACATTGATTTACACCATTTTCAAAGACTTCATAGTTTTTCAGTTTGTGATTGCACCATGAGATATTATTTATTTTGCAGTGCTGGGGATGGACCAGGGGCTTTATACATGCTAGGCAAGCCCTCTATTGCTGAACTACATCCCCAGCCCTTTTCGTTGTTTATTGTGAGGCAGGATCTTGCTCAACTGAGTTGGCCTTAAACTTGTGATTCTTGTGCCCAAGACTCCTGAATAGACAGGATTAGAGGCTACTTTGCCCAGCTGGCATTGATCTTTTTTTTGAAGCTTTCCTAGTGATCTGTTTCCCTCTCAAATATAGAGGATACTATCCCAGAGTGCACATTCTTAGTTTCAAGTGGGCTGATCCCCCAAGTGAAGCAGATCTTGATGACTCCATTTTTTCTGTGTCCTTACCTGATGTTAGGAAGGCAAGTGTACCAATTGTTTCATTGGACATGATGTTATGAAAACGTGCCAACTGCCCAAACATCTGCAGGCCAGCCTCTTTCTCTCGGCGGGCTTCTGGGGTCAGACTATCCCATTCACCTCGGTCCTTCTCAATCTGCTGGATCTTTATCTTGCTCAAATACTAAAGAAACCAGAGGTGGGATATATTAGAGAAGAAAAGTGCAATTTAAGGAACATGACATTTAAGAGGTCTTGTTTAAAATCCACTCTTAGCTGGGAAAACCAGAGATCATATAAGAGATATGAGTCTTTATTTGTCAGCAAAGCCTGAAGCATAAAAGAACTTTTGATAGCTGGGTGTGGTAATCCTAGTGTCTGTAATCCCAGTGACTCGGGAGCTTGAGGCAGGAGGATTGCAAATTCAAGGCCAGCCTCAGCAACTAAACAAGATCTTAAGCAACTTAATTTACTGAGACCCTGTCTCAAAAAATAAAAAAGGGATGGGGATGTGGCTCAGTGGTAAAACATCTCTGGATTTAATCCCCAGTACCCAAAAACTAAAAGGAAGAAAAATGGCATAATACAAGAAACCCAGGCCCAAACACTAGGCTACAAGGAAGAAACAATGAATCCTTCCTGAAAGATAAAAAATGTAAAACAAAAACCCCACAAATCAAAACCCATTTACCAAAAATGAAAGCTCTATCAAATATGCAAGATGTCTGGAAGGAGAACCATAATTATTTAAAACTCTACCTCTCATCATCCTTACTGATATAGCAAACAAGTCAAGTTATATAGTCTCATTGAAAAATGCCATCAGCTTCATTCTTTGGCTCTACTGTTCTTCCTTTTCAGGGTCTGTTTATAACAGAACCTATTCTCATTTTCTCAGAAAATCTATTTTAAGAGTGTAAGTTTATGAAAAGAGCAGGAACTTTTCTCATAAACCAAACCAATAAGAGGAGCTCATGACTGTCCAATAGGCTACCCTCAGGATTTACCTATCTCATCTTCCTTTAGGTCACTATTGTAGTTTATAGGGAAGGGAAGTTTTTCTGTCTGGGTACCCAGGTTTTTAGTGGAGTAATGAACAGTTTCATATGGATGGTTGAGGAAAAGATGCACTGCAGGAGCTAAGAGACACTCAGCTGTAGCTTACATTTCAAGAAACATGTTTCATAATATAGCCAAGGATTTAGGAGGCAAAACAAACAAACAAAAAAACCCCAAAACACAAACACAAACCAGATACGTTTTAAGTAGTGATAAAAAAATCTGGATCTTTTAGAACAGAGGAATAAAAATCATTGCTCTAGTGAACCACTGTTACTGATATCTTTGGATGGAAAAATAGTTGAAACTTACTGACCAAAAACAAGACCTTCTGATTATTTTTTTGGGTGATGCTGGCCTGATGACTTTTGCCAGTGTACCTTGGTTTGGTTTCATCAAACTATGTTTTTAACTCTGCCAAAGTACCCATCCTATGAGGCTTCAGTGACCCTTGATCTTTTCTGTGATGGAACAATAACCTAGAAAGCTCCATAATGGTAAACTCATAAATTTTTGTGTTCAAGACTGGATACTCATGGCACAGGATTGTTCTACAATGATTAAAAAGATCAAAAATATGTACTGACAATAATTTGGTGATATAGTAGCAGTTAAATGTTTGTTTTTTTACCTGAATAGCTTCATCCAAAAGGAAGATGGCATCATTCATTAGCAGGTTAAGAAAGCGGAGGAAAAGTGGAGGGTTCATAGCTTCTAAATTCTTAGAGGCATAGTCAGCCAAATCCTGTAAGTTCCAGCCCAAGAGAAAACTGTGTCAGTAATAATGAATCACATCATTGGGATTCATCTGACGCAATTGATTTCACCAAAAATTCTCTTACCTTAATGCTCTCCCGATACGTATCTGTTCCCCACATGTATCTTAGGATGGGATACATGGGACGGCGGTAATTAAACTTCTGTTCAAATTGATGGGGGTCTCCTAAAGTTAAGCAAGAGCAAGAAATCAGCAAGGGTGGTCTATTTGTGAGTGGCTAGGAGTATGCCTATGTGCAGTCACTTTCTTCTATCTTGAACGTGTCAAGGCTACTGACAAAATCTCCTCTAGGAGTTTCAAAAAAACTAGAGTTGGACCAAGTGTTTGCTCATTTGCTTACCAACAAAACAAAAACAACTGGGAAATAGATGTAAAAGATATTTTACTCAACAAGGGTAACAGATGCTTCCTCACCCCAATGTGGAGCATGCAAATGAGGCCTCTGTGCTGACTGTGGTGTTGCTGAAAAGTCATGCGTAGAGTGGGACACTACATAATTCCTGCATTCTTCATTGACAATACCCCAACTGTGCAGCCAATTTGTTCTTGATTATTCTGAAATATCAGGTCAGGAGCTAATTTGAGCCTATACTGCATTTGAAGAACCAAAGTCTGGGTCATATAATGAAGAGTGTAAGATTTGGAGTTCAAAGACCCAAATTTTCATTTTGTTTCTACTAAATGCAAGTCTCCACTCCTTTGGGGAAAAAATAGAAATTGTAATATATTGTAATATATGACAAATCTTTGGTTATATAGTTACATAATGAGATAACCACAATGATTTATTGTGCAGTTCTTTAAATACAATGAAGATTTACATGTACTATTTCACTGAATCATTGCTTTGACTCATTTTATATCTGGTTGTATTACTTAAGAGTTACATGACATGGACAAATAATGTAATCTTTTGATCCAGAGGTGAGCAAGTAACAAAGCTAGAAACCAAACAGGGAAAGGTTACTGAGCACAGTGACTCATGCCTGTTATCTCAGCAACTGGGGAGGCTGAGGCAGGAGGATCGCAAGTTCACTGCCAACCTCAGCAAATTGCCAAGACTTCCAGTAACTCAGTGAAACCATGTTTGAAAGTAAACAAAGGACTGGGGTATATCTCAGTGGCAAAGTGCCTCTGGATTCAATTTTCAATATCAAAACAAACAACAATAAAATCCCAAACAAACATAAGTATTGAAAGGTAGCCAGTAAAATGTTAATAGTTCCTTTAAATGTTAGTTATATGTATTATTGGATGGCAGGACATTTCCTTGAAACTGGTCTTACACAATTGCTTAACATATCTTGCCTACTAGTTGTAAGAGGGTACCGTCGAATCAAACAGAGAAGCTCAGGGAGAGAGAGAAGCGGAATGCTGCTTGCTGGTATTTTGTTTTGTTTTGTAAAGCAATTTATTTATGGTGCTCAGAATCAAACCCAGTGTCTCACACATGCTAGGCAAGTGCTCTACCACTGACTCCAACCCCAGCCCTGCTGGTATTTTTTTTTTTTTCTTTCTTTTTGGTACGGGGAACCCAGGGGCATTCAGCCACTGAAACACATCCCTAGCCTATTTTGTATTTTATTTAAAGACAGGGTCCTACTGAGTTGCTTAACATCTTGCCATTGCTGAGGATGGCTTTGAACTTATGATCTTACTGTCTCAGCCTCTGGAGCTACTGGGATTACAGGCGTTCGCCAGGGGGCTCTGTGGTATTCTTAATCCAACAATCAGATTTTTAGAAAATTAGATGGTATGGTTAAAATAAAGAATCTCTCAAACATTATAGTCTCATTACAGAATTTTACCATCTTGGGGCAGACACAAATAAGGAGTTAGGTTTTAATCAGATAGCCTAATTTGAATATAATTTGACTAGTAATATATGGTTGAAAAGAGTATATAGGATTTTTTTTTTTTTTTTGGGTGAGATGGACTTATCACTTATTAGTTACATGACATGGACAAATAATGTAATCTTTTAATCATTCATGTCTTCATGTGAAAAATGGGGATAATAAAGTCAAATGGTAACACATTAGTAATATAAAACAGCATTTAGCACCAAGCCTAGCACACAGAAGATATTTGGTAAATGATGGCTTTAAATTTATCTGATGTTCAATAAATGATCAAGCTATGGAACTCCACTGGTATCAACTCTGTAGTTCCCACCTGGCTGCATGATTGCTTTACCTGTAAACTCGATGTCCACAAAAACCTTGATTAGAGCTTCTGCAAGTTGGGGTGCATGTGGAAAGTTGCAGAACACACGCTTCCGGTGGAACACACTGGATACCAAGGGATTTGGGGTCTGATCCAGGTGGGGCATCACTGCTTCCAATACCTCAGCTAGTTTAGCCCTTAAGTGAGGATTCTTCATTCTGCAAAACAGGGCAGAAAGCAAGATGAGTAGATAAACTTAACTCCCAAAGTTATTACTCTGTTCTCTCCACAAGAGGTGCCAACGCATGCTATACTCTCATTATAGGGGAGGAAAAAAAAAAAAAAGAGGCACTTCTATAGTTTTGTCAATATTGGGTGATTCAGGGTACACCACTTTTTTTTTTTTTTTGTGTGTGTGTGTGGTGCCAGGGATTGAACCCAGGGACTTGTACATGGGACGCAAGCACTCAACCAACTGAGCTATATCCCCAGCCCACCATTTAACTTTTGAGATGACTGTTTACCAAGTATGAGGGTGAGTACTTAAGTTCCTATTTAATACTTAGCCACTCAACTTTCTTGTCTACAATAAGGCATTATTTAAAAAGTACTATTCTCTGACAGTTTCATCTTGGATAAACTTGCCTTGCCAGGCCTTCTGAGGGTAAAGATTAGGTTTTACTTATATTATCTACAATGCTGTAATGTTTTCCTAATCAATACTTTTTGGTTTATGACTAATTAGGTTTACTCAGTTCAGTGACGGACTGGATTCTACCTACTTTTCATTGATGTGCCTAGGGGAATTGTGGGTCATTCTCTTTATTATGAAGCAATGTGCACTTCTGTACACAGAATTTGTTTCCTTTGGCCTACATATCAGAAAATGAAGAAAGGAATCCTAGAAGTCATAGTATCTTCCTTTGGGAAAGAGGGCTGGAGGTTATGAGTGGGAAGACTAGAGATCAGAAATAACACTGAACTAAGTTTATTGCTCATCCAACTCCGAACAGCAAGAACAAACTTATGTATCATACAATTAGTAGAGGAACATTAGCACCTGACTGCCACTGGTAAGGTTTCTGGCAGTACGGTAACTATTTTAACCAGGGACTAGCAGTGGAATTCCCATCAGGTACCTTAAATGCAGGTTCAAATTCTCTGTGGGCAAAGTCCTTTGCTTATTGTGCCTCTCAACAGTGGGATTTTTGGCTACCCATAAGGATGCTCAGGTGGTTCATTAATGTTAACATAACTTCTGAAGGCAACCCCTTATGATTCAGGCTTGTTTATTTCTTGATTTAGAAGTCTTCTGAATGTTTTGCAGCTCTAAACAGTGACAGAGCCAAGCTTTCAGCACTTCACCTTTCTATGCTCCCAGTGAAAATGGTGATAAAGTGAAGGACATGCTCCAAGGAATCTGCTGATGTCTCCAAGATGTCATCGGCAAAGCGGCGGAGAAAAATGAGGAAATCACCGAGGTTATCTGCAAAAAATTCTGAAAAAAAATATTCACTAGAATTAGGTTATCTGCAAAAAATTCTGAAAAAAAATATTCACTAGAATTAGCCAAATATCTGTCTGCTGGTATTAAGTAACATTTATATTCCTCTCTTTCACGTTCCTTAATGAAGTGTTTAAAAAAAAAAAAATCAAAGATCTTATTGGTCTTAGGATCTTCTTTAAATGTATGTCATTTTAAATTTTTATCCAAGTAAATATATGAACAGTAGTATACAAAATATCATTAACATATTAACATGTGTTAACAGTACCAGGTTACAAGATTAATACAAGGTTAACCATAATTTAATTAATTCTTCAGGTATCTGAAGAATTGCTTATCAAGACTTTTACATTAGGTAACTATGGCAGCCAGCCTCTAGGATGATCCTCCAATGATCCTCATTTCCTGGTATTCATGCCCTTACACAGACCCTTCCCACATTCTTCTAGAGTAGAAGATTCACCCTGCAGTATACAGTAGAAGTGATGGTATATCATTTCTAAGATTAGGTTATAAAAGCTTTTAGTTTTCACCGTGGCCACTCACTCTGGGGGAAACCAGTTACCTCATCATGAATGGTACTAAAGAGAGATGTGTGGGGCCTGGAGAAGAGGCTGTTGGCCAAATGTGCAAGAAAATGAGGTCAGTCAACAGCCACATGACGGGGCTTGTAAGTAGATCCTCCAGCTGTAGTTGGATCCTCAAATTCCTATGGCTCTGATTGACAGCTTGGATGCAATCTCAGGGGGTACTCTTGAGCCAGAACCATGCAGCCTAGTGTGCCTGAATTCCTTACCCATGGTAAGTGAAATAATATTTGTTGTTTTAAGCTGATATGTTTTGGGGTAATTTGTGATACAGCAATATTTGTCCAATACAGTGATCAAGATAATTTAACCTGATTTGATGCATGTCTGCTAACCCCTCACTGACATATAAATACAATCTCCCTTCTGGGTTAACTGATAGAAGAATTTTTTTTTCTTTCTAAAAAGAGTACAGGAGAGTTAGAAATTTGTAAGTTGAATGACAAACCATATAAATAACAGAAACTAACAGCTATGAGAATCCTGGCTTCATTTAATCTTTTTTTTTTTTTTTTTTTTTTGGTACTGGGAATTGAATCCAGGGGTGCTTTATCACTGAGCTCCATCCTCAATCCTATTTTTTGTTTTGAGACAGGGTCTCACTAAGTTGCTGAGACTGGCCTTGAACTTGCAATCCTCCTGTCTCAGTTTTCTGAGTTGCTGGGATTACAGGCATGCATGTGCTACTGTGCCTGGCTTCGTTTTAATCTTTTGAGACTGATATGCACAGCAGTAGGGTCATAAGGCCGGAGAACATACTGTTAGTAACTTCATACTTTGATCAGTAGATATTTATAAGTTTGAGTTGTTTCTCCAAAAACAAATGATAACTAAGGAAAGGTATCTTGAGGACTAAACTTCCAAAGTGACCCAGTTAAACTTAGATGGCTAAAAATAGGAAGTTCCCAAGGGAGAACTGCTTACCTGGCACATAAGCCAAAGAGCTGTAGCCATCTGGCAAAGGAAAAGTTAGCTCTATTGGCTGTGAGCCCTCATTGCCTATGGCCAGTTGAACCAGCAGAACAGCCATGGACACCTGCAAATTTAGGCAGTTTTGTAGCATCTGTGGCTCAGTCATGGCAGTCTTGGTTGAAAGATAGATGGTCATCAGTCGTTCAAACTGTTTACGGAGGTTGTCAGCAGCAGGGCTAGAACTCTGCTGAGCATCCCTCCAGGCAACCTGTAGCCGATGCAGATTTTGGTTGATTTTTACCATCTGATCATGCAACCTGCCCCCAAGAAAGCAGAAGAGACTGGGTCAGGAAGGCTCATAGGGAGATAGTCTAGTTTAGATCATTCTAGAAAAATAAATTCTCATTTATTTATTCTAGCCTTCCCTCTAAAAATGTAGGGAGATGCAGTCTTAATGACACAGAAGGCATTCACAAGTTACTGACAGGACAGAGGCAAGGTGCAACGCACTGGGAAAATGTTACCAAGTATTCAACACAATTGAAGCTTATTACAAATAGTTAGCAGCCTTCAACTGAAGTGCACAATTCAAACAGCTGCAACTTAGGTGAGCAGGGTATAAAGTGAGATATTATGTAAAATAAAAATTATTAGGCAAAGTACAAGAAGCCCAGCAGGATAGTTTTACACAACAAAAGTGCAACAATAGTGCTTTGAGGGATTATGAGGATGTCTTACAGTTAGTCTTCAGCTCTCAGTTTAAAATAAAATTAAACTGTTCTTCATGAAAGTTCACCCAAATATTCTCTACTGAAAGGAAGACCTATAATTTAAAGCTAAGGATAACTGATTCTATGTGTATAATCCAAAACTATTTCCTTTGATCCTATAGGTAATGTCTAAGGCCAGCTAAGAAACTAGATGACATTCATTTTTGTGTTTGAATCTAGATAGTTAAGTAGATTAAGCACATGCTGAACATTGTCTTATTTAAAATGTCTTATTAGAGAATTACAAGGTTTCTTTGTCCAAACCTCAAAGAAGTTAAAAACGCTTTATTAGAGAGTTTTCTATACCCACCATTTTTCGGTAATTTGCTGGTTTTTGAAAAATGCCTTTTATTAATTTAAGTATCCTGAGAAGGCATTAAAAACTGCTATTCCTTATACCATTTCCAAGATCAAGTTGCTACCTCCCACCCTTATTTATACTGAAAGGTCACACTTAGTTAAAAAGGGGGAAAAATTATAGTGACTAGCCTTAGATCCCTTTGGAAAATTTTAAACTACAGTTCTCAAACCTTCACACTTCTAGAATCTTCTTTATCTTAGATACATAGATGGTCTCACTGGAATCCTTTATTAACATTTTCTTAATTTTTGCCAATTCTGTTTCTTGGCTTTTTCATCAGAAGTAGTAAGTAGCAAAATTTTCAAGAGTAGAAAATGAAACAGAAAATAAAAATAATTCCATTTCCTAAATGACAACAGGAAGACAATGATCTAAAATTTTGAAAATGTAGAAAAAAAAAAATAGTGTATCTTTAATTTAAAAAAGTTAACAGGTCAAAAATCGAAAATAAATTTAACTGGACAAAGCTGATTCATGTAAACAAAAATAAATTCAAATAATTCTCTTTTGCTGCTAGATTTTCTAATGCTAGCCTTGAGAATTAAACTCTCTCTCTCTTTTTTTAAAGAATTTAACCTTTATTTTACTTATTAGTTTGTATGTTGTTCTGAGGCTTGAACCCAGTGCCTCATCTGTGCTAGGCAAGTATTCCACCACTAAGCTCCAGCTCCAGCTCCAGCCCCTAGAATAATTCTTTTTTTTTTTTTTTTTAAATATTTATTTTTTAGTTCTCAGCAGACACAACATCTTTGTTTTATGTGGTGCTGAGGATCGAACCCAGGTCGCACGCATGCCAGGCCAGCGCGATACCTCTTGAGCCACATCCCCAGCCCTAGAATAATTCTTTTAAGACTCACTTTCAACCTTCTGGTTTTAGACACAACTAAATAGTTCATTCCCAAATAGTTCTTTTCTAGTGACAGCAAAAGAATTACCTGTGAAATCCCAAGTACAAGGTATACTCTGTCAGTGCAAGGTTCTCTGTTACAAGGTTGTAGTTCTGGGGAAACTTTGGCTCCTGCACAGCTGGGATCAAACAGGTTTCTTTGTCCAAACCTCAAAGAAGTTAAAAGCAATGGTAAATGGCTTGCCACAGACATGAATCTTGGTCTCAAGTCTCCCCTTATTCTTGTTCAGCTTCCATACTATACCAGTGACAACTTCTTTTTTTTTTTTAATATTTATTTTTTAGTTCTCGGCGGACACAACATCTTTGTTGGTATGTGGTGCTGAGGATTGAACCCGGGCCGCACGCATGCCAGGCGAGCGCGCTACCGCTTGAGCCACATCCCCAGCCCCAGTGACAACTTCTTTAAAACAAATCTCATCACATTACTTTCTCTAAAAATATCTTTTGTCTACAGAAATAGTTAAACCTCTTGCTTAATCAATGAAATCACCAAAAATTAAAAATAATTATCGTACTGTAATTTTTCCAACTGATAGGCAATGGACCAACTGTATTTATTTTATGCTTTTCTATATTTAATATTATTTGCTTTTGAGAAGTATCATTTTTATAATTGCAAGAATCACAAAACCGGAAGAAATATATGAAAATTAAGAAGGGATTTGTTCTGCATGGTAGAATCATGAGTCCTTTATTTTTTTTTCATTTCTCTGAATTGCTCAAGTTTTTCCAATCTGGCCTTAACCTTCTTTTTCCTCAGACCCATTTTCTCCACTTCCTGCCACCCACTTCTCATCCTCGTCTGCTCTAAGATACCTGGAACGTCTCATCATTCCTTACTCATATGAGTTTCCATAGCTTTTACTTCTATGCTTGCTATTCCCTTTGTATAGACTCTTGCTCCTTTGCCTGGTAAAACCCAACTTATCTTTCAAGCTCAGCTATGAAGACCTCCGACTCCTGCAGAATTGATTACTCACTCTTTCTGTGTTCTCAGAGCTTAGTTCTATGGCACATTAAAATTACCTGACTTTTTCTGGAGCCTCTGAGTTCAAAGAGGAAAGCAGCTGTATTTTATTCATTTTGGTAAAGGATGAATGAATGAATACTGAAGGCTGCCATATCCAGAGAGGTCTCACTAAAGCACAACATTTAAAAGCTAAATTGTTGATTTTAGAAAACTGCTTTAAAAAAAAAATTAAACCTTTTTTACACCTCGTTTTTTTTTTTTTTTTTTGAGAAAGAGCTACTTTATAAAAAAAGGATAAGGGAATGAATGCCTTAGAAATTACACACACACACACACACACACAGTTCTGAGAAGGCCAGTTGCCCCTACCTCTCATATGTACATTTTTTATTTTTCGTTCTTCATCATTCAACTCCTTCAGAGCACAGTAAGTAGGA